TTAAATACATAATTAATTTTAGGAAAATAAATAATTCATTATTTGTTAATTTCTAATAATTTTTCTAATTCATAAAATGACTCAGCTAAATATTTATCTTTTTCAAACTGCTCTTTAAATTCTTTCTCAATTTCGTTTAAAACTTCATAATTATTCCAATTCTCGCCAAATCTTTCTTTTGCCTCCTCCATAAAATCCATTCCTAGTTTGGGTTCATTAGATGAAATCATTGATTTTATAAAAATCTTTAATGTATCAATAGTTGGGTTCATATTATCAATCAAGTCATACCACAACCTCATAATATTTGATACTTTTCTACCTTTTCCGTAAATGTCTATTAACGTGTGATAGATTGGTAAATTTGGCTTTGTTTCAAACGACTTCATTTGTTGAAAATAATAATTTATTTCTTGAAATTTCCCGAGTTTTCCAAAAACTCTTATAAGATTATCAAATGTAGCTTGTTCAATTATAAATTTTTTTTTAATTCCTTGTTGAAAATATTTGTTGACATTTACAACGTTACGATGCATAAAAACTGATTCATGATGTTCTGTATTATCAAAATGTTGTTCAATAGCTTTTAAATATCCCAATATCATAATATTGATAGTTGTTACATCAATACCAGCATTACGTTTCCTGTATTCATTCTCATAAAAATTTTCTGCCTTTTTATATTCTGAATTATCAAAATATGCTTTGATTAGTCTATTAAATGTTTCTTTCATTGGTCTAATACCTTTAAATACTATTTTATCATATAATCCACTTGCTTTATTCAAGTTAAAAAGCGAATCCCTGAGATATTGACTTATTATTACGTCACAAACTTTGGAACTAATTTCTTTAACTGACATTTTTTCTTTTTCATATAAATATTCATCAAATAATTTCTCAGAGTATTCTACCACACCTAAATCTGCAAACGCAATAATAAATGTAATATAAACATCTTCATTCATCTTAAATTTCTTCTTTCTACAAAATTCATGAAACTTCTTTAAATGTTCAATCACCACCTCATTTTTTATTAAAACTGATGCTATTGATCCTTCTTCTTGTAAAATGCTTTCAATCATTGTATTAAATGTATCTTTGCTTGGTATGACATCTCTTGGGAAATTTTCATTTTGCTCCAATACCAATTTCCAAGTCTTCTTTACACCCTCAAAATCACCTATTTTCAAATACGTTTTAATAATAACATCATAAATATCAATATCATGCGCCATCTTCAATTCAATAACATCATCTTTAACTTGCTCCATTCGCTTTAATCTTTCTCTAATATCATACATATATGTATTTTCACCAAATCTTAATAATTTTATCAAATCACAATAATCCACATAAAGTAAACCTTCTCTATTCTTCTTATCAGAATATATTTCCCAGGCCAATTTTAATCTTTTAGAAAGAATTGCATTTCTTAACTGCAAAAAATTATATTTCTCCGGATATTTTACAACTTCTTTTTTTGTTGTTGGCTCATTTGATAATGATATATTTGAAGAATTGGTTATTCTGCTATTGCTGTTTCTGCTGTTGCTATTTTTGTAAGGGTAATATTTATTTTGTATATCAATATTTTTTGAATGAATAAAATTTAATTTTATATTAATGTTGCTGTTATTGTTATATTTAATTATCTTATTAATTACTCTATTATTTTTAAAAAATAAAAATCTAAATGATATTAACATTTTTATTTATATATTAATATTATATTATTTGTTTTAAAAAAAAAATGATAATCTACCCAATCTGTGTAAAATTTACATGACAGGAAATCTAAATTTATTTCAATCGAAAAAAAAATACAAATGATGCCCAAATATTTTTAGAGTCAAAGGAAGACGATTTGTTTCTTGTTCACTTTTTTCTTTTAGTTTATAATTTCTATTTAACTAGCTTCAGTCTTTGTATTATCACCTGATTGATATGATCTGAAGAATGATTATTTTTGATTAATTGGAAATTTCTTGCTGTTAGGCGCAAACAATTTGTGTTTTAATTAGACTCAACAAAAATAATCTTTAACCTTAAATATTCTGCAGATCACCAATCCTAATAGATTTTCCATCATGATTGGCGAAATTTCTTTTTTTTTGAAATCAAATAATAAAATCCTCTTTTTTAATATATAAAACAAGAAAGTCAAAATTGATGAGAAGGCAGGATTAAAGGTGGCATGGACAGATCAAAAGACATCGAATTATGCATTGAAAAGATGTAATTCAAGATTGCTTTGAAATATGATATGATACACTGAGTCAACAATCCCCTATTGAACAATGATTATGGAATTCTAATAACAATTGTCCATAAATCAATGTTTTAAATATAACGTATGGATTATAGAGAAGGTTATTTATTAGAGGATGAAAGAAAGTGAGATATTATTTATTGTCTTTTTTGTAAACCAAATTTCTTCGATACTGTAGTTTATATGGTGATATCATTACTAGGTATATGTAAATGTTTGCACTAGGCTATATAAACATTATCTTATGTATGTATTATGAAGCTGCGGGAGTTTGGGTGTTGTTTCTGGTACAAATGTAGATGATTTTGTCATTGATGAACCAGATATATTATTATTACATCTTGAAGTTTGTTATTTATTATTTCATATTCTTTAACCCCATGTTACCTATTATAATTGTGCATGCTTCAGCACCTGATATGGCTGGATGGAACAAATCTAATCTAATACCAAAAATTTATAACATACTCTAAACAGGCTTCATGAATTTACAAAGCAGTTGGTAGTGTATTAAGAATTGATAGTACACTAGATTAGGTGGTTAATCAACTACAAACGAACTGACTGATAATAAAGTTTCAGTAGAGTTTCAGTAATCACTAAGTGGTTTGGCAAGCAACCCTAGATCTCCCATATAATTGTATCAAGACTGTAAATATCTGATTCTTTAGTGTATGGATTTTTTGATAATACTTCAGGTGCAAGGTACCAAATTTTCATCTTTTTCATTTATTATTGTGCTTCTATGTTGGCCTGTGCCAATAAATTGACCATATTACCACTGTGCAAGTCATAATGAGTGTTAATTTTTTTCATGAATCTAATTCATACTAGTAATAAAAATTATTATATATAAATATTTATAAATAATAATAATGAATCTAATAATACTTACTCACTTCCCAAGTAATTTTTAAATCTTTAATATTATCATGTCATGCAAATTACCAACAGATAATCGTTTCTCATTTGGACATACAAAATTTACTTTTAACTAATACTAATATAAAATATATGCTAATATCTAATAATAGTAAAAATTGTGCCAGGTAAATTTTTACCTCTTACAATATCATATAATATTTTAATATAACATCAATTTTGTCAAGTTCGTTAATCAAAACCCCTTTTAGTTAAGTATCCAATGTTACTATGTTTATTGCATGTAATCCAGAATATATTACATACTTATCAGTTAATTTTTCAACTTGATTTTTTTTTTGAACCATTGCATAGTATTTTGTTTTTATTGCTTCATTAATAATGACAAACCTTTCACCTAGTGCAAAGAGTATCTTTTGCTCTCTGTTTATATTTTTCTTTTTTTAAACTATCTAAGTTCATCTGTTGATTTATTAAAAAATTCATAATGATAATTTTTTATAAATTTTTTACAACTGGTAGAGTTTTTATCAGTCAAATGATTCATTTAATAAAAGACCTTGAATTTTTGAAACGCGTAACATGAATCGCGCAAAACGTGGTTAGGAACGTAATACAGTAGTAATAATATTTTTTGAGTAACGAATGTTTTTCAAAGTCTCGTATTAGCAAACATGATGGTCACTAGTTGTAATCCTTGTAATATTATTATTATGCAAAAGCTCAGAGAGGTCCCTAACCACATATTCCCATATTATATCGTAGGAAGAAATAATAATCTGGAATTTAATGTTAATACAATAAAACATTCATTTTTACTTTGCCCATCTGAAGCATTATTATTAACAGTGGTTTACAAAATTCAACTAAAAATTATTAATATCTTACTACTAGAATTATATAATCTTTTTAATACAAAATCTTTCGCTTCATCAAGGTCAGTAACATGACTTTTTCATATTCAAAGCAATTATTGGGAATACAATTTCCCGGTTAAATGTGACTAGAATTTCTAGCCAATAAGGTAATCGAACAAGCAAAAAAAAAAGTCTTTTGTCTGAAAACAAACTGGTACTTATGTGAGACATGTTCTTGGATTTATTGTTGCAAGTGTAATATTTTATGGTTGGTATTTTAATAGGGAAAATTTGAAAAAGAAATATTAATAAAACTATTCAAAGCAAAAATTTCATAAGTTTAATAAATCGTTCATTTGTTCTTTCTCTTAATTCATAAGTAATAGTCATTGAACACCCTCAAAATTCAGGGGTTGAGTTTGATCAACCATTTGATAGTGGCATGCGTTTGATAAACAAATCAAACTGCAAATCTTTAACGCTTACTTTTTAAAGTGAATGTTCCTATGGATTATTTCTTAGGCTTTACTTTGCTTCATTATAAAGCTAAAGCTAAAATAAACCAAAAAATCGATGAAATTATTAATGAAATAGAGTCTGAATTAATTATCAATCGAAAAATTTTAAATTTCTATAAAAAGGGATTTCTATCAATGGAACCCAATCCTAGGAAAAAACGATACGGATAAGGCTCTGAACGAATCAACGAAATATGGACCAATTCGCTAGTTTTTGATTAATTTGATATACATTTCAAGCGAAATCCAAATTTTTGTTGATCCTTATGCGTCCAATACTGGGTCAACGGCATTCTCTTTGAAGGATATTTCTAGCATGATTTCAAGTTATGGGCTACTTTATCTGGTTGCTGTCAAGTTTTTTTGACAAGCTTGAGATTACTTATTTGGGAGTTGTCAGAATAACTTTAATATGAATCAATGTAATTCATTCTATGATCAAAATGACATTTTCAAAGTTTTCACATTTATATGAATTGGAATAAGGGATGGAATTTTGAAATTCAGAGAGATGTTTTAGTTGTTCTAAGTGCACTTTTCCATCAACAGGTAAGTCTAACTATGCTAAGTCAGTGGCACAATCAATAAGAGCCTTAATGCCAATGCCAGAAGAAATATTAAAATTACACAGATCAGTTAAAAACTTTCCAATGAAAAGGATAAACACTGTTTCAATATTGATGATTCTGATGAAGCATTGGAGACCTTTAGAGTAAAGTTTATCAAATAGAATGTTTCAACCAATGTTATAAAATCAAACTTTTGAATTAAAATGATAATGAACGGATACGAGTACTTTTATTAGAATATCTTGATGACCAATTGTAACAGCCAACAAAAATTTGCAATGTGAATCAACTTGTGATTGTATTTGATCCAAAAAATTCGGATAGTTTATTAATCCCAATGATTTATTTAATGTCACTAAGCCTAAACGATTAGTAGAATAAGATTAAGCCACTATGAGGCCAAGAAGACCATAGTTACAAAAGGAGAATAAATTTGGTTGGATAAATAGAAAAATCAAAATCAAAAAAGGGAACTAATTATTTTGGATTTGAAAATTCCAGAACGTGGTGCAGCAATATGATTGATTATTCACCTTGTGAAACAAACTTATAAAGGAAGAATGAAAATTCATTGATGAAATGCATGTTATAAATGATTAATGCTATCGAAAAATATTAATACAAATTAATTCAATAATAATAGTAATTAATTTTAATAATTTTTCGTCAAATTATAATGTCTTCTATCATCACGATGACTTCTATCATCGTGTGTTCTATCACCAATTCTTCTATCACCATCATATCTTCTATCATATCCACCACCTCTATCGTTACGACTTCTATCATTGTATGTTTTATCACTAATTCTTCCATCATCGTCATATCTTTTACCATCTTTATCATCACGACTTTTATCATCATATGTTTTATCACCCGTTCTTCTATCACCATCATATCTTCTACCACTTCTATCATCACGACTTTTATCATCGTATGTTTTACCACTCATTCTTCTATCACCATCATATCTTCTATCATATTCATCGCTTCTATCATCATGGTGACTTTTATCATCGTATGTTTTATCACCTATTCTTCTACCACCATCATATTTTCTATCATATCCACTACCTCTACCATCAAATCTTTTATCAATATCATCAAAATATTTTCTTCTATCAACCGCAGCAGCGGCAGGAATTTTTTTATCGTCGCGAGTTCTAACATCACCACCACCAATTCTAATATCATCCACGCCCTTATCCTCCTTCATCCTTTTATCAACTCGATTACTACTATCATGATTATGACGATAACGATGACGACTTCTACTTTTACCACCGCTTCTTCTTCTATTACTACTATGATTTTCGCGACTACTACCACTAATATTACCACTATCACTACTGCTAATATCAGAGCTAGAACCACTATTATCTGAATCATAGCTTTTCGATGATGATGACGAACCAGTAGAAGAATAAGACGCACCTCTAGAAGAAGACGATGATGAGGTGGAAGAGGAAGATGTGCTTTCGGTGTCACTTGATGATGATGATGATGATGATAATCTATTTAAAAAAAAAAAAAATATGGTTAATTGGCAATTATATGTATATAATTAAATGAATGAGTGAATGAATAAATTAATAATGATAATAATAATATTATTATTATTGCAAGAACATACATTTCTTTCTTTTGTTTTCTTTTTCGTTTTAATTCTTTAGTTGCTGCTGGTTTTTCTAAAATAACAACAACATTATCATCTTTTCTATCTTTCCTAAAAACGTTATTTTAATAATAATAAAAAATTAATATAAATTATATATATATTGCTGGAATCTCTTTAATCAATTAATTACTTTGATTTAAATTCCTCGGGAAGTTCAACAGCTATTGGTTTTAAAGGTTTTGATAGTTGTTGAGTTCTTGTAGGACGTGCTTTATAAACTCTACTATTTTTACACTCATATGTCTAAAACAAATGAAAATAAATACCAATTAGAAAGAATAAATAATCAACATAAACGATAAACGATTATTTATTATTATTAAGAGAAAGAGTTAAGCTGGTTAATTACCCAGTGACCAAATTCTAAACACTTTTGACATTGTGTATTTGATGTAGCATGTGTAGTTGAACTTGGATATCTAAAAAATCAAAAGATTCAATCATTATTATTCTCTTATTATTAAAAAGGGATCAAAAAAATAAATAAAACATACTTTCTCGTAAGAGAGGCACCAGGTTTGTTATTAGTAATCTTTGCTTTATTAATCATTTTTTTTTTTTTAAATAAATACAGGCTTTTTTAAAAAAAACTTATTTATTTACATTTGAGAGCACGTGATATTTTGATTACACAAAATAATAAATGCTAGCTAGCAGTATCATTATAAAAAAATATAAAAATATAAAATATATTTATTTGATTTTGATAACCAAAAAACAAATACATTATCAGTCAATTAATTAATTAATTAATTGGAACGTAGAGCTTTTTCAAGAACAGTTTCATAAGAAATTTCAGATGGATCAGTTCCTTGTATTTCAAAGGCTACATCAAATGATTTCTTCAGAGCCACTTTACTAGAAGAGTAAATCATTTTATCCCTGATGCTGGCAGTATCGGGGATCCTATAAAGGCAATAATATTAGAAATAATAATAATAATTATAATTGTTTTTATTATAATTAATGTATATATATATTTTTATTAGGAACAATATAATTATATAATTGTAATAACAATTTTCCCAGATATTTTTTTTTATTTAAATATATACATACCACGAGTAGAAGATAACTTTATCACGTTGACCTTCCCCGGGTTTCTCATAATGAAAATCATATAGAGCATAGCATGGTTTGCTCTCATCGAAATTGGCAAGAAAATCATCGTATGTTGCATTACGAGGACCCACAGTATCCTTATTTCCAACAATGGATTTTTTATCTTCAGACATTCCGAAGAAAACGTACCGATATTCCTTGCTTGCTTTTAACGCTTCATACAGCTTTCTAGCCGAATCAGCAACTGTAACTCCACTTGCCTTATTTTTTAGAATTATAATGAATAAATAAACAAATCCAGATAAATCTAGCTACTTCAATGGAAGGTAAAACGAATTGAAAACTTACCATTTTTGCTAGTTTTGATTTAAAAAAAAAAGATGTATAATAATTTACTTGTTATAATAAAAAAATTTATATTTATTTAATATATAGTCACACAATTAATTATTTGGCAAAGGAAAAAGATTAAAAGATAATAAAAAAAAATTTTTTTTTTTTTGAGTGATAGATGATGAATACACACTATCACCATTTACCAATTATATTATTGCCACTTTCTAATGTTACTACATATCACGCCACTATCACTTTACTAATTTATAAAGATTTTTATTTTTCTTGCTAAGATTTTAATTAATTAATTAATTAATTATACATACATCATATGTTTGTACACTACAACGGATAATAAAATTGATTTTTTAAAAAATGACGAAAACAAAATTATAAAAGTCAGACAGTTAATTAAAATCAGACAAAAAGTCAATTCAACCTCATCAATGAATGAAGTAGTTTAAAACTATTAAGGTTAAAATAAACTAATATAAAATATAAAAATAACCGTTAAATATTCCTATTATTATTTTTTATATATAAAAAAATTACCGTTTTGTTCCGATAAAAAAATATTCAAATTCTACCGTTATTATTTAAAAAACTGTGCCAATTTTGTCTACTATTAGTAGTAGTAGTAATAGTAAAATTTATAGTTTAGTATCGTAGTCTTTACTCCTTCTTATTATAATAATAATAATAATTATTTATTTTATTTATTATTTATTATTATTATAATATAATATTACAATATTTTATATTATTTTATTTTTGTACTCTCATCTCTCATCTCTCTAGAATAAAATCTCATTCTCTTGGTAAAGTTATTTGAAACTTCTATATATATTTTATTATTATAATAATATATACATACATACACATTTATTTATATTGAAGACTTTATAAATAATAAAATAATAAATAAATGTAAGTTTTTGTTTAAATAATCTATAATTCACTTATCATTAAAAGAAAAATTAATATCAGTTATCGTTTGGAATTTATTTCTCTCTCTTACTTTACCACTTCTCTTCCATTGTCACTTTCTATTTATTTCACTCTTTTAAATAGAATGGCTGAGATTCGTCGAAAACTTGTTATTGTTGGTGACGGTGCCTGTGGTAAAACATGTCTTTTGATTGTATTTTCCAAAGGTACCTTCCCTGAGGTATGAGCCAACATTTTATTTTCTCTTGATAATTTTCATTTTCTGGCTTTGCTGGTTAATAATAATAGTTTTCTTTGATCATATTAAGCATTGTAGTAATAATTTTAAATATGAAATAAAATTATTCTTGGAATAACATTTCTATTTTTAAAATATTAATTAACTTTATTGTTATTATTATTATAATATAATAAATAACAACAGGTTTATGTTCCCACTGTTTTTGAAAATTATGTGGCTGACGTTGAAGTAGATGGTAGACGAGTTGAATTAGCTTTATGGGATACAGCTGGTAATGATATCATTCATATATGTGTATATATAAAATATACAATATCTAATTAATATATAATATAATATATATATATTATTTATTTGTAAATTCTTTTTTTTTTTTTTTCATAAATTATTAAAAAATAGGCCAGGAAGATTATGATCGTCTCCGACCTCTTTCCTATCCAGACTCACATGTAATTTTGATTTGTTTTGCTGTGGATTCTCCAGATTCTTTAGACAACGTTCAAGAAAAAGTAATATTATAAATTTATATTATTGCGTATTACACATCATTGTGTCATTAACATTAAATAACAATCAATATTCATTCAATATATACATAAATAGTGGATTTCAGAGGTGATGCATTTTTGCCAAGGTTTGCCAATCATCTTAGTTGGATGTAAGAAAGATTTAAGATTTGACCCCAAGACAATTGAAGAATTACGTAAAACATCCCAAAGACCTGTTACAACTGAAGAGGTAATAATTCTCCATTTCTTGATCTCTTTAAAAAAATTTACATTCAATTCTATCAATAAATCTAATTATAAAATTTAATTTCGATCATTATTCTAATAATTATTAAGGGTATGGGAGTAGCTCAAAGAATTGGAGCATACAAGTATCTTGAATGTTCAGCCAAAACTGGTGAAGGAGTACGTGAAGTATTTGAACATGCTACAAGGGCTGCACTTTTGACTAATAAAAAAAGGAAAAGTACTTGTATGGTTTTGTAAATGAAATGAAATTAATGTTATTTATAAAAATTATGATCATTATAAAAAATATTAATTAATTAATTATATTTAAAAATACATGTTTGGAATATGGAGAATATATAATATATATATTTTTATATATATATATTAATTAAATTATAATTTGAATCATACAAAATTAAAAAAATATTATATATATAAATATATATGTTTTTTGGTGTATTTGTTCTTTTTTTATTGATTTAATATTAATAATATTATAATTATATATATATATGTTAATTACAAATTGTTTATTTTTATTTTTAGTTCTTCATCTTGTCTAGTAATTATTATTTTTCTTACTCTTTTAAATTCTTTTCTTTTAAATTCTCTTTTTTTATTATTATTAAATAATCAATCATAATATCATCTCTCTCTATTTATTTATTTTTCTTATAATATGATCTGATCTTTCAATAATAGTAAATTATAATGAATTGATCTGATAAAACATTAGTTACATGATGTCTAACTTTTGATATATTTATTTAGGATGTTTGATTAAGTTGATCATATAATTATAAAATAAATATTATTAAATTAATCAGATATTTAAGCATAATCATGACATCACCAAATATCGATATTTATTTTGATAAAATACAAAGAAAATAAATACAAAGAAATAAAAAAAAAAAAAAAACAAATCTAAATATATTATATTCAATTTATACATATATTATTTTTACTACTTCACTCTTCCACCTCCCACCCTCCTCACACACATTCACACCCTTCAATACTTTTGCATCCTTTCACTCCGCCCTATGCATTTCATTTCTACGGTAATTTTATTTTAGGTGGTAAATTTTGTGCAAACGCTATCACGTATTCTTTCGGATTCACTCTAATTAACTCATCCACCACAGCAACAACATCCCTATGACTCTTACTTATATGACGACGAATACCGTCATAATTAAAAGTACTGACATAGCCACGAAACATACATTTCTTGCACTCATAGATATAATACGTATCCAAACCTCTCATGAGTGTTTCTTTGACAGTTACGAATAATCCGGGTTGATCTTGTACTTGAATACTTTCTGCCGTTATCTTTGGTAACACTTTTTCAAGGATGAACGAGTGATCCCACGGATTTCTTGGATCGTTGTTGTAACTGGGCGGGTTCTTATAACTTGGACAATGAATTAATAAAAATTCTCTTGGATCGTACAAGTGGGTTACAATTTTCGGTGTGCAATACGTATTCCTTTCGTTTAATCGTTGTTTTCTTTTTTCATTAGGACTTAGATATTTGGTACCAGTAACTTCTGCTGTAACTACCATTGTATTATTAAAGCTTCTACACACCACTCCAGCTATTAACGTTGATAAAATACAATAATTTCGTGGGGATGATAGTGACGATGATGAAGATGATGATCGTGATGACGACAGTTGTGGATTAGTAAAATATTTTAAACTATCTATAGCTTGTTTTGTAGTTGGTAATTTTGGCTGTGGCCATAATAATTTCACCCATGTGAGCAAGCATTCTTGTTTCTCCTTTATCCCCGCTTCTATTGTATTTGCTCTAGTCTGTTTCATGGTAAAACTTGAAGATGATGATATAGATTTAGGAACATTGATACCATTTCTATTATTATTGATATTAGTAAAAGTGCCATTAATATTATTATTACGGTTAGCAAATTTCGAATTATAAATATCATATTGTTGTTCATCTAGTTTTAGACATTTATTCATTTGCCTTTCATTAAAATCCATTATATGTAAACCGGTAAGTGACGTCGTGACTGAATCTACTATGGATACATTATCATTGATCATCGATATACTATCATCGTCAAAATCAAAAACTCCTGCATCGTCCAATTCCACTTTCATATCTTCTTTCTCAACTTCTCCAAAAAATCCTTGTGATTTATTTTGGGAATATTCTATTTTTAAATTATTTCCATCAGCCTCATATCCTACATACCCTTCCCCTATTGCATCACCATCATCACCCTTCTCTATTCTTTGATTTTCTTTTATCAAATCCGCAAGTTTTAAATTAATTGTACGTTGCGTACCACATGTTCCAATTGACATAGTTGACACCGTATCATCATCTTTAATGGTTTTATTTTTAATTATTTCGTAAATATCATTATAATCATTATTATAATCACTTATCAATGAATTGGTTGATGACAATGATGGTGATGAAATCATTGAAGAAAAGGTTTTTGGCGATAATGGTGTATTACTAGAAGAAGAAGATGTGGTTTTTACGCTGGAATTGTAGTCGTTTGAATTTGACGATATGCTGTTTTTTCTGTTATTATCATTATCAATGGTGGTGATGATGGTGCTTGAGTCGTTGGTAGATTCTGAAGTATCATCATTAATAGTAGTTGTAATATTAGAATTATTAAATTCAGCAGTATTATTTTCCATTTTCAAAAAAAAAAAATTCAATTAATAAAATTAGCTTTTTTTTTTATTTTAACCAAAAAAAAAAACTGTTTTGTTTCTTTTTATATCCAACCTTTTTACTACATTAGATCAGAAAGACGCATTTCAACTGCGTCATGCATATAAATCAGCAGCTAATTTCCAAATTTGGTTAGTACCGCCGATTGAATTTATTTTACGCTGTTGTGTAGCCTATGTAGCCTTATCATAATCAAAATTTCCATTCCAATCCTACTATATACAGTCAGGTATTTTACCAATATGGAAATCGATTCTGGAAAAATACGAACCCCCCTCGTCGATCAATTCATATATGAAGTCGTGGAGTTTACGTGATGTTTCCATAATATGTATGTAAACAAAAAAAAATTTTTTAAAAAATCCAAATTATAATAATTGAAATAAATACTATTCAATTTTCTCTTTCATAATCACTCAATAATCACTAATAATCATTTAAATTGTGCAGAGTATGTTGTATTGAAAATCAAAGAAATTTATGTGCTAGGAACATGTTTTTTGAATATATTTTTACTTTAGTGAATAAAACACAAAAACCAACTGTCAATACCTTACCCTGCTTATTTGCTGCACTTACTCAACAATATTCTGAGTCGTATTTGAAACTCCGTGAAACCAAAACTGATCAAATTTGGAGGAAAGCATCAGGATTTGTAGCAAAGGAACATATAAAACCATTTGCTAAATATTTTCCCAAATTATCTTCATTATTAAGTTCTTTAGATAATTATTCCATTTGTGAAAGACATTACAATCAAATTGTTGCTAATAATATTTATCTTGAGAAGTTAAAAGCAGATCATTCTAGTTCTTTAGAAGAAGAAGATGAAGAAAGTGAATGAAAATGATTTAAAACAACTGATAATGCAGCAATTCAACAAGAAATCTTGAAGGAATATAACCAGGACTACACCAATCTTTTAATGGAGTCAGGGAAAGCAAAAACCCAATTAAAGAATTCTGAACACCAAAGAATAGAATACGTCACTTATATAACAGAATATCAACAAAAAATAAATGAGCTGGAATCAGAAAACAAAAAATTATTATTAGAAAACAATTAATTAAAAGAAAAATTGAACTCAAGATTTAATGATCAAAATTCAAGAATTGAATCTATAATTGAAATTGCAAAAAAGGAATGTAATAATATTTACAATGACATCATTAATTTAATTAATGATAAAGAAAGCTTCACATTGGACAATCTATTATTATATTCATCTTCAGAATGGTTTGCTAAATGCAATATAGTTCTTATTAAGTTTTTAGAGGCTCTTACTTATATGAATATGAAAGCCAACATGAAAACAAAAAACTTTTTAAGTGTACTGTGGCAGTAGATGTAATATATGGAGCAAGGAATTTAAAATATGTTTCAGCAATCAATTTAGCTGCTTCAGCAATCAAATATTCATTGTCAAAATCTAGATCCAT